TATTTTTCTTTTAGATTATCACTGAAATGACAACAAAACATTATTTTAGCAGGGACTTTCATTTTGAATAACACTAACCTAAGACTGGCATGCACTCTTATCCTGGGGGTGGGGAGAGTCATATGGAGACTTAAAACACGTAATTCTGCTTTCATCGTGAGCATTTTAAGCTTGGGACCCTCCTTTATTTACCTCTTCTCCCATGGCACCTAGCATAGTACCTGGCATTGTTCAGAACATGTTAGATAACTGAAAAGTTCAGGGAAAAATTCATTAAAACCACTATTCCAATACAAATGGCAATGCTGGTACTGCAGTTAAAAAGAGAGAGAGAGACCATGAAAATATAAAAACCTTGGCTTAGACCCATTTAAGAAATCTGAATGAAAGTAGAAGGATGTTATATGTATATATATTTTTCATATATATACTGTGGTTTTTAATTTTTTTCAAGAAGATCTTAATAGCAGGTTCTCTAGAAGACAGGTTTTCTAGAGATTTGACTGAGATTCATCAAATAAGATTTCCTGGGGAAGACTTAAGTAGAGCTCAATTTAAATATTTTCTTCAGTTTAAAAGATATGCTTGGTGCTTTTGTGAGTGGTGGAGGAGGAAGAGAACTATAATTTATTATGTCATCAGTAAAGAATGAATATAAAAAGCTTTTCCATTTTCCCAGTTTAAAAAATTACAATTAATATTGGCATTTTCTGGGACTGTCTTGACAGTGCCTTTGGTAACTAAAAGGCTCAGGGTATTTTCAGTTTGGAGCACAACCTGCTAGTCTGGTTTGTGTGAACCATTGATTCTTAGCAGTCTTGAGGTAATCCTCAGAAAAGTTTAAAAATGTCTCTCCTTGGCATCTCAGCAGTTTGCTGTACAACAGTGTTTTAGGCTTGTCTCTGTTGTTTGTGCAAAGCTTTAATACTTAACAAATTCTATTCCTGAACTTGTAAATATCAACTATAACATGAAATATTTCAAAGGTAAGCTGATGGGGAAACTGGTGTTTAGAAAGTTTCTTAATTTTTGAAAAACAATTGGAGTGCGTTGTATTCATTCATTCGTAGACTTTTATTGCGCACCCATTAAACGCCAGGCACTGGGTAAGCAGCACAGACTTAATAGGACTAAAGAATATAAAGGTTAGTAGCAGTATTGGAACCTTCCTGACAGTATCTCAAAGGATTTATTGGCTTTCATTAATCTTTCCTATTTGTTTATCAGTTAGTGCATCATTGAACATATTGCTGAGCAGATAGAGGAGAATTTGCTTAGAGTGGTCAGATTCTTATTCCTAATGTTGCTGTGTAACTTCCCTGCTGAAGGCTGGAAAGTGGTATAAATCATTCAGACTTACTATCAAGTCCATGGCAGACTATAAAATAATCCCTAATTATTTGGATATCCTTTATTTATATATAGATTATATATATATATATATTTATACCTTATACCCCCACTCACTTACAGAAAGGATAGCTAATGTATTTCAATAGAATAGTTCACAAAAATGCAAGTGCCTAATATTAATAAATGTTAGGCCCTATGCTAGTTGTAGAATATGCAGCAAAGATTATTTTGGGGTATAGGTTACTTGTCGAGAGAATAACTATCATTTAAAATAGTGTTTTTAAGTTTTTGTTTTTTGTGGTTTTGGGTACATCCTAAGCATATACCTCTGTTGTGATATTCTGGGTTTCTGCTTTCCTAGTTTGTAGCCTAGAGTGAAAGTTTCAGAATTCGAATAATGCTTCTTCCCTCCTCCTCCCAAAGGTATTATCAGCAGAAACCACTTAGTTAGGTGAATTCACTCATATTCCAGCTCTGTTTCTAAGAAGTAATAAAATTGCTATATAACACAAAGGTTTCATGGAGAGTAACTTAATTTTTTTTTAATTTTATTGAAGTATAGTTGATTTATGATGTTTTAGTTTCTGGTGTATAGCAAAGTGATTCAATATATATGTGTATGTGATACATACATATATATGTATGGTATATCTTGTTATTTCTCTATTTTGTATATAGTAATTTGTATCTGCCAATCCCAGACTCATGATTTATCTCTTCCTGACCCCCTTTTCCCTTTGGTAACAATAAGTTTGTTTTGTGTCTTGAGTCTGTTTCTGTTTGGTAAATAAGTTCACTTGTGTGTAAGTTCATTTGTGTCCTATTTTAGATTCCACATGTAAGTGATATCATATATTTATTTTTCTATTTGACTTACTTCACGTACTATGATAGTCTCTAGGTCTATCCATTTTGCTGCAAATGGCATTTCATTCTTTTTTCTTTCATTCTTTTTTATGGCTGAGTAGTATTCCATTGTGTATATATACCACAACTTCTTTTTTTGTGTGTGTGTGATGAAACTATAGGTGATCTTTATTCTTTTTTTTAACATTTTTTTATTGATTTATAATCATTTTACAATGTGTCAAATTCCAGTGTTCAGCACAATTTTTCAGTCATTCATGGACATATACACACTCATTGTCACATTTTTTTCTCTGTGAGTTATCATAACATTTTGTGTATATTTCCATGTGCTATACAGTGTAATCTTGTTTATCTATTCTACAATTTTGAAATCCCAGTCTATCCCTTCCCACCCTCCACCCCCTGGCAACCACAACTCTGTATTCTCTGTCTGTGAGTCTATTTCTGTCTTTATACTACAACTTCTTTATCCAGTCATCTGTTGATGGACATTTAGGTTGCTTCCATGTCTTTGCCAATGTAAACAGTGCTGCTGTGAACATTGAGGTGTACATATCTTTTAGAATTAGAGTCTCCTCTGGATATATGCCTGGGAGTGGGATTCCTGGATCATACAGCAACTCTATTTTTAGTTTTTTAAGGAATCTCTATACTGTTTTCCATAGTGGCTACACCAGTTTACATTCCCATCAACAGTGTAGGAATGTTCCCTTTTCTCTACACCTTTGGAGAGTAAAGTTTTGAAACCAGATTGATTTTTTAAAAATACATTCTTCTTGGTAAAGCTTGTCATTTCTCCCTTTTGTTGATCCTTTCTATTGTATCTTTGTTTTCTATTCATTAATATCTGCCTTTTATTTTCTCCTATTTTCTTTGGGTTCTGTTCTTTGTCTTAACTTCTAAAGTTGGGTGCATAGGTCAGTGAGTTTTAGTTTTCCTCTGTAATATAAGCCCTTAAAGGACACTTGTATTCCACAAGTTTGGTATGCATAGAATTTTTAATATCAGTGAGTTCCAAGTATTTTTTTATTCCCGTGATTCCTTTTTTAACCATGAATTATTTAGTATTGTACTTTAATTTCCACATGGCAGGGATATATACATTTTTAAATAATTGACTTTTAATCTTATGAATTGCAGTCGTAGATTGTGGTCTGGATGAAAATGGTTAAGACTTGCTTTGTGGCCTAGTACTTAGTCAGTTTTTCCATTTGTACTTGAGAAGAATATGTATTTTCTTCTTTTTTTTAATCTTTTTTTGTCTGTCTTTTGGAGGGGGAGGTAATTAAGTTTATTGATTGATTGATTGGAGGTACTGGGGATTGAACCCAGGACCTCTTGCATGCTAAGCGCACACATGCTGAGCAACACCCTCCCCCGAGAAGAGTATGTATTTTCTAATTGTTGGGTGCAGAATTAAAGTCACGTGCTTTGACTGCTTTGTCTTTTTCATTTACCAGTATGAGGAAGATGTGTTGAAATCTCCTTTGCTGATAGATTTATCAGTTATTCCTTGTAATTCTGTCCATTTTTGCTTTATATATTTTGAGACTTTTTTTTTTTAAAGAGGCATGAACATTAGATCCTCTGTATCCCTGAGAAAGCTTTTGGTCTGTTTTTTTTTCCCTCTCATTTCTTGCTCTTCTTCCGCCCCCCACCCCAACTCTTCTTCTTTTCAATTGATTGATTCAATTTTCTTCTTCCCTTTTACCCCCCTACTATTATTAGTTTTGGAAGCTGTGTACTTTATTTCTATTGTTACATTGATTCCTCTTGAAATTTTACCATGCATCCTTAACTAAACAAAATGTATGATTAATATCATAAATCCTTTTCTAAATGATACAGGAATATAGAGCATTTAAACTCTAAAAATACTGTTACATATTTTTGTTCTTTTTTTTTTTAACCTCACATATTAAAACATTAAAATTAGAAAAGTGAGGGGGCAGAGGGCATGGCTTAAGTGGTAGAGCACATGCTTAGCACAGGCGAGGTCATGGGTTCAATCTCCAGTACCTCCTCTTAAAAAAAAAAAGTAATGACCTCTTCCCCCCAAAACAAAAAAGAATTAAAAAATAATACAATAATAAAGAAAGTGAATGTACCAATTATATCTCAGTAAAGCTGGGGAAAAGTTAGAAAAGTGACCTGTCAGTATACATGCATGTATATCAGTTTCTTTGTTTGCTATTTCCTTCTTTATCTCAAACCTTTTGAGGGATGTATTTCCATTCTAACTAGAATAAATGTTTAGAAATTCCTTTGAAGGATGTCCAGAAACATGCAGTTACACCAAATTTTGTGTCCTTCTTTGCATTTTTTAACATGGCTATAGGGATAAATTGCTTCTTATACCTGATTGTATCAGTTAGTGTCCTGTTCTGGAGAATAGAAACCACTTTGGTTATTTCAAACAGAAAGGGATATGATTTAGGGGATTAGGTTACAAATTGTTGAAGAGGATAGAGTAGCAAAAGGGAGAAGATGTTTCTAGAGGTGTGGGATTACAAAAAGCCTTTGACCCAGTAAGAGTGAGCACTCTTCCTAGTCCAGCGTCCTCCACCCCCATCTCATGTAGGTGCTACAGTGGCTACTATATTGTGCTCGATGCCCTCTGGCAGGAACTCACAGGAGCTACTGCTGCCTGCACTTTGTTGGTGGCATCACCAGGAACAGAATGGATTCTTTGTCCCATAGCTTTTAATCTGGTATAGATGCCATTGGCAGAACCTTACAGGAATGCAGTCTGGAAAATGTACTTTCAGGCTTCTAACTGTAGTGATTCAGAGGAGTGTTTAGAGAAGGGTTAAGTGTGGCCTGAATGCTCACGGACGCAGTCCACCGCCTGATGTGTTATTAATACTTCACAAGAAAATCTGTACCTGTGTCAGAACGTTGGTGAACATCCAAGCATTTGAACTTGCTTCTCAGTAAAGTCCTAGAACTGTCTATATCTGCAAAAGGTTTAAGAATGTTTCTGTATGATCCATTAAGAGTATTGTAGATGTCTTGATGGTATTGACTACATTTTAAAAATGTAGCTTTGGTCATATTTTTTTCCCTTTTAGGTATTAAATACAGCTGAAATTCTGAATCTACAAAATGGCAAGTAACAGGGACTTGCCATTTTGCTTTGCATTTGACAAAGTTCAAGAATTGGTTTGTTTTTCTAGGACACATTGCAAATTTATTATAAGTCTAAATGATACTTTTTCAGCTGTAGGTGCTGTTTTGCCTAAATTGTTCTTGTAATAGTAAACTTTCAAGTTAACTGAATCACTTCATTCAATTCATTATATATGACTATATATAAATATATTCCTTATTAAAATAAGGGAATGCCAGATAAGATGGCATATTGTATACAAAGTTTTTCCTCATATATAAAATGGGGAGAACCTGAAGAAACACTGGAATCTAGAAAAAGTTGCTACCCCATACTAGAAATTTTAGGGAGTTGTTCTCAGATATAGAGAACTGATCATTCAAATCAAACAGTGAAATGTAGGACTCTGTTAACACCTTTAATTTGAAGGTGCTGGGACTGAAAAGTTGGAGTCTTTTCAGCCAGTGTTTAAATTTAATGTCAACCAATTTAAAAAACAACTTTACAGGGGGAACCCAAGAGTAGATCCCTACCAATTCCACTTCTTTTTTTTTTAATTGTAGTCAGTTACAAATATGTCAATTTCTGGTGTACAGCATTATGTCCTAGTCAGCATATATGTACATATATTTGTTTTCATATTCTTTTTCAGTAAAGATTACTACAAAATACTGAATATAGTTCCCTGTGCTATACAGAAGAAGTTTTTTGTTTATCTATTTTTATATATAATGGTTAACATTTGCAAATCTCAAACTCCCAAATTTATCCCTTCCCATCCCCTCCTCCCTGGTAACCATAAGATTGTTTACTATGTCTGGGAGTTTGTTTCTGTTTCGTAGATGAATTCATTAATGTCCTCTTCCCCCACCGTTTTTTTTTTAAGATTCTACATATAAGTCATATCATACGGTATTTTTCATTCTCTTTCTGGCTTGCTTCACTTAGAATGATGATCTTCAGGTCCATTCATGTTGCTGCAAATGGCATTGTTTCATTCTTTTTTTAATTGCTGAGTAGTATTCCACTGTATAAATATACCACAACTTCTTTATCCAGTCATCTGTCAATGGACGTTTAGGTTGCTTGTATGTCTTGGCTGCTGTGTATAGTGCTGCTGTGAACATTGAGGTGTGTGTATCTTTTTGTGTTAGAGTTCCCTCTGGATATATAGTGAGGAGTGGGATTGCTGGATCATATGGTAACTGTATTTTTAGTTTTTTGAGGAATCTCCAGACTGTTTTCCACAATAGCTGCACCAAACTACATCCCCAGCAGCAGTGCAGGAGGGTTCCCTTTTCTCCACACCCTCTCCAGCATTTGTCGTTTGTGGACATTTGAATGACGTTTTTGTTTGCATTTCCCTGTATTGAGCATTTTTTTCATGTGCCTTTTGGCCATTGTATGTCTTCTTTGGAGAATTGCTTGTTTAGGTCTTCTGCCTATCTTTAGATTCCACTTCTAAATTGCAGCAGTACCAATACCCTGGGGCTATACTAGTGAAGTGAAGCCTCAGTGAACGCTGAGCCTGAGTCTCTGCAGTGACTCAGCCCACTTTCCTATGCTGAACTATGAACCTTAAGTTTATATTATTTCTCCAGTTTTCATGATGAATACAATGTAGTTACATCTTATATAGGGGTTAGGCTCTAAAGTTAGTAAAGCAAAAATCATGTTTATAAAATCACCCTTGTGCTCGCTTCGGCAGCACATATACCAAAATTGGAATGATACAGAGATCAGCATGGCCCCTGCGCAAGGATGACACGCATTTATACTGTATAGCACAGGGAACTATATTCAATATCTTGTAGTAACTTATGGTTAAAAAGAATATGGAAACGAATATATGTATATTCCTACATGACTGAAGTATTGTGCTGTACACCAGAAATTGACACAGCATTGTAAACTGACCGTACACTTCAATAAAACTACAAATTTTTTAAAAGGCTAATACAATGCAAATCTAACTTTCTATATTTTTTACCATTTGATTTGCATATATTTGAATAAAAAGAAAATGCTTTAAAAAATAATAAAATCACCCTTGAAAAATCCCAGCAAAGTCATGATCACATTGGAGACTGACCCATCAGTTCTCAGTAGGTCAAGTGGTGGTCAGGTTTTTGTCTAAGATGCATTTGAACAGATGGCTGGGCTGATTCTTCAGTTGATTGGCAGCTGAGATAGTTGACTTGTTTTGTAGGGACTAAGTTTTTAAACACTGGAATGATAAAGAGTATGTTGACATGCTTACACTCTGAAAGATCACACTAAGGGACTGAGACCATCATGGGAATGGCAGGTTAGCATCACACACCTCACACTTGAGCAGAGCTCCTTGTGGCTTACCCTTTTTGAATGAAATGACTGGCAGAATCACTGATACTATTTTATTAACGGAGTCTCTGTCTCTGATTAAGCACACATAGTTGAATTTTTTTGTACATCAAGTGAGTAAATGATAACATGGTAAAAAGAATAAAAATCAAAATATGTAGATGCATGAAACTGCAGCATAAACAGAGGAGAGTAGAACATTTGAAGCAGAAAGGAGCGTACACATAAAAGAGGCCTCATAGAGAATGTATGTTTGATAGCAGCTTTTTTTTTTCCAAAATCCTCCAAGACTAAAAATGAGAAGATACAACAACACATAAAGAAGCTGTTCAAGGTGAAAAAAAAATATTGACAATCTATAAGGTGAATAAAGCTAATTATAAAACATTATGAATGTACTTTTGAGGAAGACATGCAAAAATTATATGAAGTTGTTTCTTCAGTTCCTCGATTGATGCAAGAACAACGGGCTTGGCATTTGTGGATAACATTCCTGCTTTTTGACTATTCATTAATAACTTGGAAGAATCAAGATATGCAGAGGTGTGTGATCTTGCTGAGCCTGGTATGCAGAAGTGAGTCCATTTTGACAGTGAGTCGAGAGTATGCCTTGTCATTGCTCAGCCTTCCCTATCAAGGCAGCCCTGTTCTTGATTCATTCTTCTGCAGTAGTTGCCATGAAGTGGTAATACTGCTTCCCTATAAAATATCACTCTTGGGAAGAGAAAAAGTCTGTTTTCTTAAAGTTAAAAGCAAATAGGCTTAAGATGTTGACAGTCCTTTGTCAGAAAACATGTTTTTGATCTATTAAAGAATGGGATCTTTGCATGAACAGTGTTTGTCATTAAATACGGGGAGAAAGTTGGCAATAAAATACACAGATGTAAAGATTGACAAAGATGATGTTTCTCTTTTTTAAAAATAACAAGGTCTTCTGCATTGAGTTATTCAAGGAATATATGATGGTAGGTTGCTGTTCATTTCTATTAAAGAGTCTCAGAGCTTCCAGCTATACATGATTTTGAACAAACGAGATCAAAAAGATCTTTTTTACTTTAACAGTATTAAAATGGTTCTCTAAATATGGGCAAAGAGCTGATGAGTTCTAAAGAAGGTGACTAACTATAAATGTGTTATACATGACTGGAAAGTAATGGCAAGCAAGACTTCAGAGCTGAGCTATCTTGATATTTTTATCCAGTGTGTGGGGTGTTAAACATGCCTCACAGCTATAATAGAGCTATCACATGGATCATATGAAAAACAAGACAGAGACATTTTAAAAAGCCTCTGCACTTGATTTCTTAGTCAGATGCTGCGTTATTTGGCATTTGACAACTAAAGTCAGAGTCCGGATAGTCAAGAGGTAGAATTATCAAAAATAACTGAATTGTAATAAAGAAGTAATTGATTTAAAATTATTTCAGGAAATGGAAGATAAAGTGACTAGTCCAGAGAAAGCTGAAGAAGCAAAATTAAAAGCAAGATATCCTCATCTGGGGCAAAAGCCTGGAGGTTCAGATTTTTTAAGGAAACGGTTGCAGAAAGGGGTAAGTTCTGATGTGTAATCTTCAAATGCTTGAGCCCTGTGAACTCAGTTTGCCAATAGAGATTGTGAAATGAGTGTCTGCGTATATAGCTCTGTACCTTACCTACCGCCAGATGTGTGTGTGTTACTTGTGTATATATTGGCTGTAGTTATATATGGATTATTTTCTCAAGTAAACCAGATTGTAAAAGGATATTTTTCCCAGCTTTATTGAGATATAACTGACATATAACATTGTGTAAATTTAAGGTCTGTGGTGTAATAATTTGATACATGTACATATTGCTAAATGCTTTCCAAAATAAGGTTAGCTAACATGCCCTATACCTCACATAATTACCATTTTCTTGTTATGGTGAGAACTTTAGGCTCTCCTCTCATAGCAGTTTCCAAATATACAGTCCAGTATGGTTAACTGTAGTTAACCATGTTGTCTATTTATTAGATCCCTGGAACTTACTCATCTTATTATTGAAAGTTTGTACCTATTAACCATTCCCCCCCCAGCCCCTGGTAACCACCATTCTACTCCATTTTAACATTATTTTAGATTAAAAAGTTACTTTTAAAAGTGGCAAGATATAAAATGGTATTTTTCAATTACATGAAAGAATAACATTCACAGCTTTGAAATAATAGAATGACAAGGAAGAATTATACCAAAATATAAAATAAAATCCATGTTCCATGAAAGTAATTTGGTGGGAATATTATTACAAAAATGATAGTTAATGTTTGTAACACATAAAATGGTTTTTCAAATATACAAGAAAAACATTAAGGTGGCTTAGATAAAGGATTTTAACAGGGGAAGTATTGTTATTAAACACAGAAAAATGTTAATCCATGATAGAAATTAATGAAATGTAAATTAGAACAATTATACCATAGTATACCTATAACTAAATTAGAAAAAAATTTTAAAATAATACCCATTGGTGAGGTTGAAGTGAATGTAGCTAATATGCTCTTTGTTGTGTGTAGCATTACTCTTTGTGGAAAGGGATATGGATCAAGATTTACAGAAATTGTTCATATTTGAATGACTAATCATTCGTGAATTAATCTAAGGGTACAATTCAATATAAGGAAAATATCTTCACGTTAGAAGGTACACTTTGTAGCTTTATAATTAGAAGCAGCATCACTATTCAGCAGCAGAGAAATAGTTAAATTGTAATAAGTCAACAAAATAAAATACCATGTGGTTATTTAAAAAGCGTAATTATAGGGAGTGAGGAGGGGAATGGATGAAGGTAGTCAAAAGGTACAAATTTACTGTTATAAATAAGTGCTAGAGATGTAATGTACAACAGGGATAAATGTAATTAATACTGCTGTATGTTTTATATGAAAGTTAAGAGAGTAAATCCTCAGAGTTCTCATCACAAGGGGGAAAAAATGTTTTTAAATTTCTGTTTTGTATCTATGAGATGATGGATGTTCACTAAACTTAATGAAATCATTCCATGATGTACGTTAAGTCGAAACGTTATGCTCTACACCTTAAACTTACGCAGCGCTGGATGTCAATTATATCTTAATAAAATTAGAAGGAAAACAAAGCATTATGAGACCACAAGATGGGGGATAAATAAAAAGCAGAATGAGAAACATGTTCTACATTCTATGTAGAACATACTTGTACCAAGTCTCGTTTTGAAATGGTCCCATCAGGTATGATTTTAATTATGAAATAAATTACATAGTCTTTGATTATTAAATTATTATTTGGATTTAGGTTTTGACTGATTATTAGTGTTCAGCAAATATTCGTTAGCTAATCTTCAGTATAACTTAGGCTGACAGGCTTTCTATTTGACATTTGGGCTGTTGTCTTTGTCATTTTTCTCTAGCTTCAACTATTTATGACTCTAGGTATCTTCAAGTTAGAATTTATATACACTGTATCTTGGAGTTGGTGTTACAGATATAAATGGTTGTCAATAAGAAAATGCCTCTTGAATCAAATAATTATATAGAATTTGAGAAGGGAGCTCTTGAATGATTCTGTATTTTATCAAAAAGTCAATGAATAAGCACTTTTGTATGAGGGAAATGAAGTCTTATATTCAGCCATCATTTCTCACTATGTTAAAAGAGTTGATTTTTTAAAAATATCTGGGTTACAGGGTTGTAGTTTTCCTCTGTCGTAATAGGAAGCTGGCAAGTAATCTTAGTATCTTTGAACAGTTTCTTCTTCATTTGAGAATAGTGATTGGATGGATATCATTTATATTCAGTCCCTTTCTGGTTTATTATCCTTAATGTTATTCAGACCCCTATTTTAGGCTTTTAACAATATGACATGTGAGGGGTTTCAAGAAGCAGTCTAGCCTCTTGTTTTTTCCTATTTGTGGAGTTTTGTGAACTTCCAAGAAAACCGAAGATCCAGTTTTAAGAAACTTAGCCTTAAAATTTAAATATTGTCACTTTGGTGATCAGTTAGTGTCAGTGTAGTTATTAATACTGATGTAAGTATGGCCTTTAAATTGGAGTGGGTGGAGGCTTGTATAAAAGTGTCATCTAGATGATTCAGAGTATGTTAATTTTTTAAAAAATTTTCACTTAAGATACAAAATTTTTTAATTGTTAAAGACAAATAATACTGCCTTCTCAGACTGTTTCTTTCCCAATATGAGAAACACTGGTCTAGTTCATTTCTCTCCTTTGAGCAGTTATAATTGTTAACCATTGATTTTAATTTTGTCTCTAGCCACACTAAGTAAATTTAATTCCTTTTCCCCAAAGAAAGTAGCTTAATCTACAGTTAAGTGGGATCCCTTATGATGAACCTTTGGTGACTATAAAATAGGTATCATTAGAAACTGACTTTATTACATTGGAAAAAAATTGCCTAAGATTTGAACTGTGCGTTAAATTTCTCATTTTGTGCTTCTTACTCAAAAATTTGGCAAGCTGCTTTGTTCTTTTTAGAGGCAGAAGTAGCTCTCTAATGTAATACAGTACATAGAGATTCTGAGATTTTTTTTCACTACACATTTTAAAACATGCAGAAATGAAGCTGCAACAAACCTTAGAAAGGCCTGGTCCAAGTTTCCTATAATATGTTACATGAATAATGACATGTGAAAAGCGATTTCTAACTATAGACCCTTTGGCCGTCCGCCACATGCTTATCAAAGAATAGTCCCTGGAGGGAGGCATCCAGTGAGACCTTTTTCCAGGCCACTCCACGGTCTTAGACTAAGCTGTGAGTTCCGAGCTACTTCATTTACCACTTGAGGTATCTCTGAAGTCTCAAAGAAAATATTTTTATTTTTCCCCCTTCACCCTTTGTCCATGCCCTCATCTCATAATCTGAATTATTCCCTCTTGCCTACACAATAGGCAGAGATTACTTTCTTCTCCTTTGGATAACTGTAGCACCTTGTGTACTTAAAACAGAATAGTAATGGGTTTACTTGACTGTTACCCATCTTTGTATCTCTCTTCAAGATTGACACAGTGCCTCACATGTAGTATAACAGGTTCTTGATAAAGATGGGCTAAGCTTGATAGGTGGAAGTCAGAACCCAGGCAAATTCATCCATTTTTGCTCTGTAACAGATTAACTCATGTAGACTATATTAAGGTTGATATTTAGCTCCACAGTTTCTATTTTAGTGATAAAGGGTATGGTCTTTACGTTAGTCATCTCTCCAACTACGAGGAGTGATAGTTTTACTTAGTGTCTTAGGTGAAGTGATGGTAAAGGATAGGGATGTGTATTTTAGATGATAATTTCTAAAGAGTTTTTTTTTCCATTACCTTAGCATTTATATTTTAACCCTAATTTTTATTTTAGTACACTGCTGTAATTCAAATAGTTTAAATCCTAACAGAAATGTTCATCTTAGATGACAGAGCACCAGCAACTTTAAGTAATAATTTTTAATAACTGTAAGGTTGCTTGAAGGCGGGGGTGGCGCATCCAAAATGCAAGTTGGTGAATTATGTGTTTTTATTTTCAAAATCATTTAAGCAAGAATTTCACCCTGGTTTTTCTGTTAGTAAATGAAAGATTCGCTCCTCACTCTTTAAGTCCAGGACTGTTCATTCGCAGATAGATTGATGTGGAAGTTGATGTCAGTCTTGACGGTTCCATACTGGAACTAGAATGAGGTAAGTGAGCCTGAGGAAGGGGGGATTCTTGCCTGACTTCTCAGTTGTTGACTTACGAGAGGACTCACTACAGAGGCATAGCTATTTTATGTAATTAATGTTTTTGTTTTAATATTTTAAGGCTTATTTTATATCAACAGTACAGGGTCACAGCTACATCTTAAACCAGTGTAATTGCATAGGAAAGCTTTTAAACTCTAATCTGACTTTTTTTTTCCTTGTAGCAAAAATATTTTGATTCTGGGGATTACAACATGGCTAAAGCAAAAATGAAGAACAAGCAGCTTCCTACTGCAGCCCCGGATAAGACAGAGGTCACTGGTGACCACATTCCCACTCCACAGGACCTTCCTCAGCGGAAGCCATCTCTTGTTACTAGCAAGCTGGCTGGCTGATTAAAAGAGCTGAACTGCATGAATCTTCTAATTCCTGTTATTTCTCCTTAATATGTTACTTCTCTGCTTTTTATTTCCTTTCATTCACTAAGTCATTTGAGACTGACGGCTTTGCAGGTAGCGGTAGTGTGTGCTGCTATTGTAAAGGAATACACATGTGTAGGGTTTTTTATTAGTTTAACAGTGCACTGATGAAAAGAACATGTTAGAGCAACATAAAGTAATCAATCTACTTGAAAGTAATTGTATATATTACCTAACTCGTAGTGTAGGGCTGGTTCCAACAAGTAACAAGCAAGTTTTACAATTTTAATGTTTTGGCTTTCTTTAATTCATCTTAATTACAGCTTTGTATGTTACTCTTATTTAATATAACCTCTATTGTATTGATTTCTTCTGTATTTTTCCTTTGGATTTTGTAAAACAGAAGTTTAAGACCACAAGTTAGAAGAAAGGTCACATATTTCAAACACATAGATGGGGCTCCGAAAGATTTGTATCCTGTGCTTGAACTTGAATGGCCTTAAATCTGTTTTCAGCTTTAACAATAGAATTTTACTTGGGCAATATTTGCCCATTCTGGTGTAACTATGTGACTCTCGTGCTTAACAGCTGCTGTTGAAGCTAGCATTCTTATTCAGTTCTGTAGTGTTAGGATACGTTTTGTTGTTGAAGATGTGAATGAAGTGTGCATGTGCATTGACTGTTGAATTCACTTTTGTGCCATTTTTGTAAATACAATAGTTTTGCACAACCTCTCACAAATGTCTCTATTAATTTCACATATGAAAAAGTAGATGATGTGCCAACCAGAAGCACAAGAGTTCCTACACAAAACTCTGTATCTCATTAGAGCTTTTGTATAGAAAGTAGTTTACAGTCATGGGGTCATAGAATACCAAACTGAAATCTCTGCTCAGTCTGCCGCAGACGTAAGCTTTTCCATGCATCACTAATAATCCATGACATCCAGTGGCCTTGTGCAAATACGATATGTTGCTTAGGCATATCTTTTGTCCTATGCAGAACACTTCATTTTGACTTCTATGAAAATTATAATTCATGTAATTTATATAAACTTTTTTAATATAGAAACTTTTTACTTCCACAGTCAATTTTGGGGACACTAGAATAAAATACTTTGCCTCCTGTGGCCCCTTCCTCCTTTTTTTCCTGGCTTCTTTGACTCACATTGTGTTGGGCTGTGCTGTTCAGTCTATTCAGAAGCATAGATGTCTGTATCTTTACTCTTGAAGTCTGCTCTGCTGAATGCTGTATTTTCTAACACAGTAATGATATTTTCCTTAATAATTTCCCAGTTGTTAATTAACTACTCTTAATCCTGAATTATTACTAATATTTGACAATTGTTTAAATAAAAGGAACTTTATAATGAAACAAATACTTGAGAAGACGGGCCCAGGAACCTATGTCAGGATGAGCTGGGTTTTAAGTAATTATAATGAGCTAAGTGAATTAGGTTTGTGACAATTAGAGTAATTTACATGATAGGTGGAACATATTCATGATAAATATTTAGGCGTTTTGCTTCTATAGATGTCACTTTAATAAAATGTAATTTTAATTTTATTTGTAAAGAACTTGTGGTAACTCTAGTTAGTAAGAACTTTAACTAACAGACTTTACTGGGACAAATTTACTGTTCTTTTAGGAGTAGTGCATCATACATACTGCTGCATGATGATAAGAATCCACAGCCTGAGATGATAGTATTTTTTCTTCATCTTTAACTTGGGCAGGGCCTCCCCTCTTTTGGATCTAGGCATCTTTTCTGGATCTTTGCTCCATTTGTACACCTGCTTTCCTGTGACCCCAAATCGCCGTAGATGATGCGTTGCACGTACATAGCACCTGCACTTCCAGGCTGCCTGGTGCTCTATGGAGCTTGCTGATTATCTTCCTGCTCCACCAGCTTAAAAGACAGAAAACAACAAAATCAGTAATATGCTAATTTGTTACAAGGATTGGTTATAAATAGATTTGTAATGGGAGTAAGGATATTCCAAAGTATGTTTAATCATTGTAGGACTGAATTTAAGAGTTACAAAATACCCCAAAGTAGAACTTCTGTAATGTTTAGTGGTTTTTTTGTTTGTTTGTTTTTAATGACTTTGCAAGCTATCACCATTAAATTCACATACACACCGAAGAATTAATCTGAAAGATGAGACCATGTTATTCTTGATTATGGTAGGATTCCTGCTGTGTTTCGTGACAAGTGCTGTAATCTCTGCCCTTGTTTTAGTTTGTAAAATACAATGCTAATATTTAACCTACCTCAAAACTTGTTGAGGATCTGTGAAATACTGAGTAAGTGCCCAAAATAAAATACTGTCACTGTCTTTTTATTACAAGTAAATTTTCTCATTAAACCAACCTGCCTTCTGTAAAGTCACAGTGTTTAAATAATCAGGACTTTCCCTCAGGAAAGAACTGTTATTAAGGATTTGTAGGTATAATTGCTTAATCTCCATTATTGGTGCTTGGGATAGAGGTTTTACATTCTTCTATTTTTGTTCAGCTTCAAAACTTAGTTTTAGGTAGACATTTTCAGGCTGTTTCACTATTGCTTGAATGAAGATTTTGACTAGATGAGCTTAGATTTCAGAATTGTGGTTTGAGAAATGGCCAATTTTAATCATTGTCCTATTTATTATAAATGAAATGTGGAGTAAACGGAAGTTGGACATAACAGATACTTCAAGAAAATTAGCTAAATTCTGAGCTTAATTACCTGTTTCATGTCCAGCAGCTTGTATTCAATAGTACACTTCTGAGAAACATTTTAAAAGCCTACATTTGACTTAACAATTATTGTTATTGGCATGTTGGGATAGTAAGGATTATTGAATTGTTTGGTGAACCGAGAAGGAGCATGTCTGCACTCTGTTTACCAGTTACTCAATATTGTTGTGCTGTTCACCTAAGAATAAGTTTTAACTGTTCATCAAGGCCTCTACTTGTTATTACGTCACTTAGAATTTGTTGCTCCTTTTACTTGATGTAACAAAAACTTTACTTCTGAATATTTATTGAAACTTTCTACTAAATCAGACATGTATTCTTTCTGAATCCAAATTAGTGAAGTTTTATCAATGCTGAAATGTGACCTCTACTTAAATTGTGCTATAAACTTGGTGTTTGGTGATCCAGGGGCAGGTAGCCTATAGGAAGAGCACGTCTGAGTGGCAACTACAGCAGTTTTCTGTGGTGGCCTTTTCACATTTCCCAGCATTTGGAGACTTTTCTTCCATTTTTCATTTTCTTTTTTCACCTCATTTTACTTCACACCCCACCCCCATCCCTGCTTATTTCTTAAGCCCCATGATAGCATTCATTAAATGGTATTTAGGGCTGATGAATTTTCAAGCCTTAACATCCTTCCCAATATCACAATTAAGGGCCCATTTTAAATTTTCTAAAACACTTTCCTAATCTGGATAATGACAAATTTGAGCCACTGTCCCAACTCTGCAATTCAGCATGCACTGCCAGCCTTCCCCCATAACCCTTCTCCCCCTGATGCCACACCACACCTTGTAAAATTGGGATCAAAGAAGTCTCATCCTGGGATTGTTAATCTAAGGATTAACTGATAAAACTGATTTTAATACTGTTTTACTAGTTTCTGCTTTTTTAAAATAGGTAGGCCTATAAGTTTTACTATCTGCAAATCACCGATGGTCATGACAACCATTAATGTATGTTCATGTTATGTTATTTATCAATTAAACAGCATTTGAAAGAAAAATTAATTTCTTTAATATGCCCTCAAACCTGTTAACTGCATCTTTGTGATGCAATAGGACAGCTGCCTGTATTAAAAGGGCCAAGAGCAAATGCCTTTTTTTGTTGAATATATCTGGAGTTGGCAGTTAATGCTGAAATTTGTCAAATAGCCCTTCCAAAATTATACTTGTGAAATACACAAAAAATAAATTGATCTACTTAATTTCTATTGATTTAATTTGCAGTTTTTGTCTCCTTTGTTACATTTCTTCTGTATATTTTCTGATGTTGATCCCTTTAGATTTCAGCTACTATGATATGCAGAAAAAATTTGACTATTGTCTTAAATTTTGTTTTAATTTAAATAATGTGTGTTTATGAGATCCTAGCAGCATAACTTATATTTGTAAGGGCTTTGTAATCAAGGTAACATGTTTGCAGATAAAGACAGTACTGTCAAAAATAGAAAGATGGTTGAGACAAGGAGCTTACATTCTGAGAAATTTTGTATACAGTTGACTCTCAAACACCACCAGGGTTGAGGCGCAGACCCTCAGCACAGTTGAAAATTTGCATATAACTTTGCAGTCTGTCCGCCTAGCGGATTCAACCAACCCCAGATTGTGTAGTACTGTTGTGGGTATTTGGTGAAAAATTACACCTGTAAGTGGTCCCACGCAGTTCAAATCTGTGTTGTTTAAGGGTCAACTGTATATATATAATTTAATTGCAAAGTAGAAGTGCTATAAGAGAAGTAGAAATAAGTTCCAGGAAGTCTAGAGGAATGAATTATTCAATTTAGGGGATAAATGCAATGAATGGTAAATCAGGGAAATTTAAGAGGTGGTTTTTTGAGAGGGGTTGCTGTAGGCATGGGTGAGAGGAAAGGAAGGAATTAGAGCATTTTCAAATAGGTAAGGAGTTGGGGAAATGTGGCCCAGTATAAGGAGGTTTTGTTGGAGATCGTGGCATGTCAAGGAACTCTGACATTTCTCCCTAACACTCCTTTCCTCCTGCCTTCAACTCAGTAAATGATACCACTGTGCACTTACCCATTCAGGTACTCAGACCAACCTTAGAAGTTACCCTTTGCTCCTCAGAGGCTATGACCAACATCTAGCAAAATGTGCTGAAGTTGCCAGTTTCTCTTCGCTGCTGGCACCATTAACTCCAAGCCACTCTTTCTTGCCTGGACAACTGCTATAGTTCCTAACATCACTTTTCACTCCTGCTCCCTTGTCCATTCTGCACCCCAGCCCATTCCCCCTGCCCCATCCCACTTCCATTCTTAAATCACATATCCAAGCTCCTTCCTGCCCCTGTTCAGTGCGCTTCTTTTCCATTAAACACTTAACCCGGTTCATAGCTTAGCTGGCCCTTTTTCATTCTGATCTCAGCCCAAATTTGACTTCCTTAGAGAAATTGTCATTCTTCATTGCATCCCTGGCAACTAGAAACAGCTTATACATACTCAAATACTTGTTGAACAAATAAAGTGAAGTGGAATATTGGGTTGGAAATTGAGAAACCAGATTAAGGATGTGAATGTAGAGAGGTGGAGGTTGATTCTCCGTCTCAGTCATGGCTAGCCCTTCCTTTGTTGCAGTAGGCCTTTATACTCCGTGTTTCTCTGAATGAGGAGAAATGTCAAAGAGCTCTGCTCTCAAACTTCATGTCACTGAAACTGGTATGCCTGATTTTCCATGGCAAGGACGTACTGTGTTCACTGCTCCTCTACCCTTGCTTGTGATCATAACCTTACAAGCATTCTGCATCTGATTTCCAAGGCTCTTTCCTGCCCCGCTACCAATAACTTAGGCTGATTAGTGTCTTGTAGACTCGCTTTTCTGCAAGTATACAAGCTAATATTTCTAATGACTTTGTCTATAACTGTAAGTTGCCAGTTGTGTGGATTACTGCAGAAATGATCACTATAGAGCAGCCATATTTTTAGGCTAAAGATCAGAAGCAGACACACCAGTGGGCAGCTTTCTGTGAGGCCACACTTACAAGTTACAGAACACAAACCTTTCACATCTTCCTTAATTCTCAACCACTTGTAATATCAATATTATCAGAAGCCCCAGTCACTATGGATGTACTTGCTAAAAGAAAGACTACAAATACTATTTTAAGTTGGCAGCC